AACTTATAATCCGCTCCCACCAAGAATGTTGACTCCAGTAGAACTAGGAAAATCACTCAACTACTTACCTTTACCTTGGGCATTCCACTTTGAATTCGATGATGATGTTCATGCTTACCTCAAGCCGAAATCCTTCTCTAGATCACAATTGCTTGGTGAAGCTAATAAATCTACTCCCTAGTTTCAAATAGGAGTTTCCTTTCACTAAGCACATTTTCACTTGTACATTCTAAAAAATGGACCACAGACTTTGCGCATATATCCTCCCGGAGTGCTTATCTTGAACTTGGTCTTCTCAACCTTGATGTCATCTTAACATGAGCTATTAAGGATTGCCTTTTCAATGTAAGGCCATGCATGACACCTAACCCACATATACAAAATGAGAACATAATAGACATGTTAGTTCACAAAGCGCGCTTCACAATTGTTTACCGTACCATGAGACTACCCGAACACATGTGGTGCATCATTTATGCTTGTGTGTTGATCAACTGGAATCCAGTCATCAGACTTCATATTGGTCAACCTTTATCTTCACTTCATGCTCTATCTTCGTTTCTTGACAAAATGAACTCCTCACTTCACTTGAATATAAGTCTTTTTTAGAGCATCTACAGCCGGACTTTGCAAATCCGGCCCCTCAAACGCCCGCAGACGCGCCCGGGCGCGTACGTGGGCACTGACCGGGCACGCCTCATATTTCCTTCTTCACATCCAACTCTCTCATATTCATCCCTTAAATTCATACAAAATCATGCACAATATATTTCTACGTACTACGTTCTATACTACTCATATTTCGTCGTCGCCGGAGATGGCCTGAGTCGCCTGCGCCAGAGCCGGAGCTGCAACCGCCAGCGCTGGAGCCTAAGCCGCCTGGGTTGGAGCCTGAGCCGCGTGCGCTGCAGCCTATGTCGCCTCCATCTGCTGCTGATGAAGACGCCTGGCCTCTTCAGCTGACTCCAAGAGGATGGAGTTCACGATTGCGTGCTGCTCCGGCCACACATCCGGCGCCTCCTCCTCCCCCATGTCCAGCGGTGGCTCCTGCTCCTCCACATCTTCCTTGTCCACCTCATCCTCCTCTTCCTCCTTCATCTCCTCCTCCTCCTCGAAATCCTCCTCCGATTCCAGAGGTAGCCCCGCTTCCCTTCAGATCCGGACCTGTTCAAGGAGGAAGAGACGATGCTCAATCATGTAGTGGCGGCGGCGTGGGGGCATGGCTACTAGGTGGATGGGTGGAGTGGAAAGTGGCGGCGGTGACAGATAGGAGGAGGAAAATGTCGATGGATTGTAGGGTTTCGGTGGCGCCGGTCGACTTAAATAGCCGGGCAATGCACTACATGACCCGCCAGAGCGGCGCTACACGGTGGCGGACGCGGCGTCCGTCAGACCGCCGGGTTTCTGGGCATTTCCGTGTGAGGCCATGCCATCAGGCCGACGTGGCGGGCATGCCCGGCACACCCGGGCGCCCCATATTTGGGTTGGATATGGGGGTGCCGGTCAGCCTGGGCGTTTGAGAGGTCTGTCTGGGTCAAAAAATCATGACTGGGCAGTGACCAGGCGGCTGGCCCGGGCGTATGAGGAGGGTTTGAAAGGTACGGTTGTAGATGCTCTTAGAGATTCCAATATGGACTACATACGGAGCAAAATGACTGAATCTACATTTCAAACTACGTCTATATACATCTGTATATAGTCCATATTGAAATCCTTATAAAGACTTATATTTAGAAACGGAGGGAGTAAATTTGATTATTTATGGTTGTAAATAAGTAGGGTGTTTTGCCTCACAGTAGATAGTTAGAAAAAAAGCTAGGGGTATTTATTTGTTCAAACTTCGAAGGCTTTATAAGAAATTAGGAGGATTCAAATTTGTAGACAATTTCCTAAGGATTTTCTTTATTTGCACTATGTTTTATAGGATTTTTCCTCCCACTTAATTTTGTGAAAAAAGACTTTTTTTAGGGGGAAAATACCTTTGTTTTAAATGTTCAAACTGCCATTGAATGAACCTGTAGCATTGAAAGCATAACATTGTAATTCTGTGTTTTGAGTCTTTTTTAGCAAAACTATTTTTTTAACCTTAGGCGTTCATTTGCTCTTCTCTTTCTTGCCGACCCTTCTCCTCCCTTGAGTCCTTCTTGGTAATCATGCCCTCCACGGTTGCGATCAAGGTGATCGATGCCGCATCCCGCTTGTCCTCCTTCTTGGAGTTGGTCTTCCCCCGCGGCCGAGGCTTCTTGCCGTCCCCAACCTCCTCCACGGCTTGCTTCCCACCACGCGACTTGAGGGCCGCATATTGCGCCTTGAACTTCTCCTCGTCTTTGATCACCCTAAAGCAATGGGAGAGGTTGAAGCACTTGCCATTTGTGTTGGACCTTGATTGCATCCAAAGCTTGAAATGCCTACAAATGTATTTCATGCAAGCATATTGACAAAATGATATGCAAAACGAACATGCAAGCATAAACTTGATGGCACAAAAATAGGGCGGCTTGCTAGCATACCATGTCTTGCATGCCGATGCCGCTCACAGGGCGGGCCTTGACGCTCTCAAGAGCGGTACAAAACTTGTTGCACTCTTGTTGGATCACCCTCCAACGCTTCGTAATGGACACCCACCCGCGCACGCTTACAATTTGGTACGGCGGAAACTTCTTGCGCTCATGGAATTCACGGTGGACACGAATCCAGAAGGTTGAATGCTTTTGTTCGGCGCCCGCCTTGGGGTCTTGCCCAATGTCTCTCCAACACTCGCAAAGAAGCTTGTCCTCGGCCGCCATGTATGCCTTGGTCCGCTTGCTCTTGTGCTTCGACTTCGGCCTGGCGGCTTGGTTGGCGAGCTTGTCCTCGAACAAAGGCACCCCTTCGATGTCGCACTTGTCCTCTTCCTCTAGCCCATAGTCCTCCGGGAACTCATGGTTGAGAGGGAAGCCGTCCAGGTCCAGGCCGATGTGATCACGCATGAAGGCGGATGATCTTCATTGAAACCAGCGGACGTCGTGAACGCCCCTCAGCCATCCTGGCTTTGTGTCTCGTCGGGATCGAAGCCAGTGGCCTGCGCGCCACCCTCGAAGATCATGGTCTGCATGTAGTCGTCGTCGCTGGCGGCCGGCATTCCGTCGAACAGGTTGCGTGCGCCCGACAGCTGGTCGGCTGGAGTCTGCCGCGCGCGTTTCCTCGCGCCTCCGACTGACGAGCCAGCGGCCACCAGTGTGGCGTTGAGGTTGATGGGCGCGGGCGCGGGCGTGGAAATCGCGACCACACTCACCTAGTGCGAGCACTCCCCCGAGAGGCGGGAGGCCTGCGGGGAAGCCGGGCACCGGGGTGCAAGCCGACGCGCGGGGCGAGTCGGGCAGCATCGTCCGAGGGAAGGCGGATGAGCCGGTGCTGACCGCGGCGGCCACTGCGGCGTTGACGATGCCGTGCTGGCTGGGGTTTAACCCCATCATGTAGAGCGCCTTCCTCGTTGCCGTCACGACGCGGGCGTTGGTGACCTGCTGTTGCGCGGCGGCTGCCGCGATGGCTTCATCCCTCGCGTCCGCTGCGTGCCTTCGGTCCTTCCTCTTGGCGACTCCTTTGCCCGCTGTTCGGGCATCAGCACCTTCTTCGGCTTCGGCGCGGCGGTCTTGCGGGGGGCGCGAGGCTTGCCTTTGCCGGACGAGGCGAGGGAGGCGAAGCCGACGGCGGCGTCGAGGTCGAGGTCGTCGTCCATGACGAGCGTGGGGCGGGAGGGTTTTGGGGAGAAATGGGGGGAAATGATGGTGGCTGTCACCGACCGACGAGCCCGTGAAGAGGAGTAGGCGCACGCGCGTCCGTCTCATGTCCGCGCCGACGTAAATCCGGCTCAAAATTAGGCCGAAAATGGGTCGCCAGGCGGACGCCAAGCGAACGCGCGTTCGTTTAGGTCATCACCTTGGGCCGACTTTTATGTCCGCGCCGATCCAAACGGTCGGCGGCGGACGAAATGAGTCGCCCCATTAAAATTGCTCTTAGATCCTGATTTCAAGCCAACAATAACAAACGTAGACAAAGGGGACAATCTACTCCACCAAGTAGCACATGGGAGCGAAATATGACGATGGCATCCATCCAAGGTTCCGCTCCCAATCCTGCAACGGATCTCCGTGTCAGCAGGGCCCCATCCCCTTTCCCCTGCACGGCGCCGGTGGCATCAGTCTCACGAGAATAAAAATCCCATCAAATGCCATGTCCAGATGCAAATGCCCTCTTTTTTTTTCCCATTTGCCTTTCCCCCTCAAAATCCTCCTAAACCCTTTTCTTTCCCTCTCCTCGCCTTTCCCCATCACCACTCACCCACTCCCCCCTCCCTCTCTATCTACCTCCTTCCGCCTTTTTCACGCCCGTTGCTCCCGCACGCTACTCGCTCCTCA